GGCAAGGTCCAGGGGAGACTTAGGTTTGAAAGAAGCTTTTTCCATAGTGGAAATTACTTCACACATGACCACAAGAAGAAGAATGACAAATAGAACAACAAGAAAAAATGAAAACAAGAAGCCAGCAGACACAAAAAAGGAAACGCTGTGCTTAGGGTCACATGATCTCATACCATTTCCAAAAGGCCAGAGGAGGAATAAGAGCCTCCCCTATTTTCCTCCAGTTCTGAGATTAGAAGTGATCTCCTTGAGCCTCCAGACGGTCTAGATACCAGAAACCAGAACCAGAAACTTACCAATTGGTAAAATAAGAATAAAAATGTTTGCCAACAACCAGAGACCAGGGTGTCCCCTCAAAACGAGGTTTGCACTTCCCCACAGGAACCACCAAAATGTTGGGGTCAAGGGGGATGTGCAAAGGTGGGAACAGACCACCAAAGTCTAATAAGCCAGAAGCAAACTTTGTTCCAGAAACCAGATTCCAAGAAAACCAGAAGCAAACTTAAAATTAAAAAAATAAAATAAAACACCACGAGGTTGTAGTCCAGTGCTCCAATGTGGGATTCTGTCTCTGTCTCCTTTCATCGCCTGATGAAGGTTAATATCCAGGAGGATGACTATGTGTTTTTCTTTGGGTTCTCCTTCTTATTTAGCTCCTCTAGGATCACGAATTATAGGCTCAATGTTCTTTATTTATGGCTAGAAACCAAATATGAGTGAGTACACCCCATGTTTCTCTTTTTGGGTCTGGCTTACCTCACTCACGATAGTGTTTTCTATTTCCGTCCATTTGCATGCAAAATTCAAAAAGTCGTTGTTTTATATTGCTGAGTAGTACTCTAATATGTATATATTCCATACTTTTTTCATCCATTCATCCATTGAAGGGCATCTAGGTTGTTTCCAGGTTCTGGCTATTACAAACAATGCTGCTATGAACAGAGTTGAGCATATACTTTTGTTGTATGATAGGGCATATCTTGGGTATATCCCCAAGAGTGGTATTGCTGGGTCCAGTGGTAGGTTGATCCCGAATTTCCTGAGAAACTGCCACACTGCTTTCCAAAGTGGTTCAGGAGTAGAAGGAGAGAGAGCATGAGCAAGGGACTCAGGACCGTGAGGGGTGCACCCACACACTGAGACAATGGGGATGTTCTATCGGGAACTCACCAAGGCCAGCTGGACTGGGTCTGAAAAAGCATGGGATAAAACTGGACTCGCTGAACATAGCGGTGCTGAGAAGTCAAGAACAATGGCAATGGGTTTTTGATCCTACTGCACGTACTGGCTTTGTGGGAGCCTAGGCTGTTTGGATGTTCACCTTACTAGACCTGGAAGGAGGTGGAAGGTACTTGGACTCCCCACAGGGCAGGGAACCAAGACTGCTCTTAGGGCTAATGAGAAAGGGGGAGTTGATTGGGGAGGGGGAGGGATGTGGGAGGCGGTGGCGGGGAAGAGACAGAAATCTTTAATTAATAAATAAGTAAATAAATAAAAATAAAAAAAAACACACCATGGAACACAGAAGCTTATCAGCTAGCTGTGACCACAGCCAGAGACGGTGTTTGTTAGGCTGTGGCAAAAGGCTAGTTTCTGAACCTGTCTTTTATAGTTAGGGTGCCAAGCATTAGTTCTGAACAAAGGAATTTTTACAATCTTGCCCTGACCCATGGGTCAGTCAACATAGATCCTAACTCATCATCACAATAGCAATGATGACACTGATTTCTTGGAATGACGCTTTCCCATCTGCTTGTTTCTGATAGAATCAAACCTCACATTTCTGAGAGATTTCATGTAACACAGTATTAATTCTCTCGAAAAATTCAAGTCCCTAAAACTATAATCATTTCTCAAATTAACTTGAAACTGAGTTCAGAAGTAGGATTAATGATCTACTTTAAGTACATTTTTCAGGATAACGATTCCTCAAACCTTTAATAAGCACAGAACCATCTCCTGTTTTCATTCATGGTCTCTAGATTTTGACTGTTACTCACTTTCAGCTTCTGTACAAAGGACTTGCAAATGAAAAACAACTCCAAACCCATAACACTCCATGACAAGCCTCCTGAAAGGTCCTACTGAAAAACACCTAAGTGAATGGCTGGGAAAGATACAGGATTAGATCCTGTTTCTCCTTTTACCCCACAAACTTGTGCTTGGATCACTCTGGTATTTCCAGGATACTCCTCTAACCCACCCCTACTACAAGAACTACCTCTCTTTCCATGACTTAGCACAGCACCAACTATAAAGATGTCCAGTAAATATCTTTCAATACAGCAAGGACAAGTGAAAGCAATATTCACAGGAAAGTATGGCCTAAATAAATATAATTTCAGTGTAGAGGGGGAATGTCACACACAAGATAACATACATATATAATTTATGAGATATATTAAGTTTGAAACTAAAACTGTAAGAATCATTCCAAGATTTTTATATGTATATATGTGTATATACATATATAGGTTTATATATGAATATATACATAAATATGTGTATATATGTATATTTTTGAAAACTTCAGAATGTAACATGGCCCCAGACCTTAGTAGACCCCAAGATGGTAGCACAACTAACTCTATTCAGGTCATAAAATTCAGCATGTAGACAATGCTACCTCTCAAGACTAAAGCAAAGGACTAATCCACCAAAGGTCATAGTTCTGGGAAAGTTGCTAAATATGCTAACCTTGTTTTTGCCTTCTGTAGTTCTGCTTCTGTCTAACTCTTCTTGTTAACTGAAATATGTTAATCCAGTATATAAACCCAGAATATGGTGTTTGTGTTTAAATGCTCACCCTGAGAAAGGCTCAGTGCTACATTGGGATCCTGAAGACCCAATGTAGTCACTGGTCAAGTAATAAAGACCTTCAATTGGTTTAAACCCACATCTGCGCAGACTTTTCAGGTGAATGTCCCACACCAAGCATTACCTTCTAGTTATCTCAAACTAACATCTCCAAAGAACCACTCACTCACACCCTCATGTCCTGGGCAACATATTCCAACTGTGTTTTTTACTCTAGGACATTTACCCTCTCCTCTTGCCCTCCTCCACTTTTTCACAATCCTTTGCTTGCTCTATTCTTACTACCTGCTGTCTAACCCCTCTCTGTTTATGCTTCTCTGTGTTTTACATTCAGAACATTATGTCTCCTGATTGCATCACATTGTCTCTCCACAGCTCAGCCTCTTGGAATTTGGGTTTCTGCAGCTTCCATTCCCTTCATCATGTTTCTGATGCCACTGCTCTGGCTTCCACACAACTTTGGGTCTCATTTATATTCGCATTAATCTTCAAAATGTGTCAAGTCTTTAAAAGCCATTGAAACCCATTAATAACTTTCCAGCAATCTGAAGCAAAACTCACCATTCCCTCCCAGAGAAAAACACAATAAAAAGTCTAAAAAGTCTTGCCACCTACCACACCACACACAGACACACACCTTCTACCATACACCACCACCACACATACTCATAACATACACACATATAACACCACATCACACACATAACCTATCACATCATATAACATACCCATCACATATACACCATCTCACCTATCATACTACACCACACACACACACACACACACACACACACACACACACATGCTACCACCACAACCACCACCAGCCCACACACAGCTAAGGAGATGTCAGAGCATAAACTCCAGCAGCTGCCTCTCCTAATTAGCTTAATGCACTAGCACAGCTTCTAGTGCCTTCTCTAATTGTTTTTACTATCCTTTGATGTTTCTAGTGCCAACTGATTTCATTTTTATGTGTTCCTTACATTGTATTTCTAGTCTATTCCACTACATTTATTTTCTACTTACTCATTTCTGCTTACAAATACCCATATACTTACAAATATCAAATCCACTAAACACATCAGGCCCATTCTTACTGGAAAAAAAAAAGTTGATTCCTTAGCATTCTTATTCTCTTGGCTAACGGTAAATGAGATTGTTGTCTTAATTTAATTTTATAGGAAGTGGGATTGAACCAGAGTTACACTCTCTAGACAGTGCTGGCCTAGAACTCAGGATGCATTCCAGTCTGCCCTCAAACTTGCCTCACTCAGCATTCTGATTACAAACTTGAGTTGCAACACCCAACTTTAATTTTTGTTTGTTCATTGCTAGTTTTTTTAAAATACAAAAGCTTTTTTTCTATAATGATTGCATTTGAAGATACTTTGTTCAACTCTTTCTTAGCTCTGATGGCTTGATTGATACCTTAGAGCTTTGTAAACACAAAATAGTGTCAACTACAGGTAGAAAAAGTTTGAGGGTTTTTTTTTTTTTTGTCTTTAGACATTTAAAATTCCTTTTTTTTTTTTTTTTTGTTTTTTGTTTTTTCCTCTGAGTACAAGATTGGGTACAAGTTGAGAGACCAAGGGTCCTTGTCTTGTTCCTGATGTTAGGCACAAATCAGTGGTCAATCAACATTAAGTGTGATGTTAGTGACTTTTCAATACACTCATAAAAATAATTTTAACGAGTGAAACTCAACGAACGTATAAAATAGATGAAAATCCACCCTTTTATTTTGTGCTACCATGGAATTAATTCATATCATCTATGACCCACAGCAGCTCTGTCAAATTTTTATTTAATTCCATAAAAGACAAGGAAGTGACCTTATTCTTCCTTTAGAAAGAAGGGAATGGGTGGAGGAAAAAAGAAACTATTAAAACAAAAGAAAAGAAAGAATTTTTATCTGTGCAGCAAATAATGTTGTTTGAGCTCACCCAGCACTCTCCCTCTTCAGGACCCTCTCTCGGGGATGCTGGGTGCCAGGCCAGGTGAGCCTGCATCTGGTAGATGACACTGAGGGATAGTGGCGTCTTGTTTTCTCGGTCAGAATCTACCAAATATTTACTAGGGGCGGGCTTAGAGGGAAGGCAAATCCGGCCTCAGAAACAAGGGAGCGGCAACGCCCCTTTGCTGTAAAATTTGACCTGTCTCGGCTTAGATTCCAGCTGCAGGCAGCCTGAATCCCAGGCAGCGGTGAGGGACAGAGACCTGACAGGACTGCACCCAGCTCTCAGCTCCATCTCGCCAGCGGTGCTGAAAGTGGATGGAGAGCAGCTAAGAGAGACAGACTTGAAAGAAGCCCGGAGCTGGACACTGCGACGGTGAGTCATAGCCGATATCCTTTCACCTTGGAAAGATCGCTGGCAGGAAGCAACTTGATTGCAAGGGTCCTGGAACTGAGGGGCTCCAGCACATTTCTTTCAGTACACTCTCTAGAACTGGTCACCTTCCTCAGAGGAGAAGAGGGACTTGGAGGATGGCGTGCGTTTCTTTGAAGTTTACTCCAAATTGCAATGTTTAAGAAAAAAGCCAGCAATTTTCTCCTCCACCCAAGTGAGTCTAAACTGTAACATAAAGCTTGTGTGGACACAGGACTGCCATGTGAAAGTGATGCTGCTTTTAGGTAAAGTTAAGGAAAGCTCTGTCCTCGTCCCTTGCTTCTCAAATATGCCTCACCTCTTCCTTAGCTCTCTGGGTCCTTGGCATCAGGCCCTGGAAGTGCCTGAGACAAAATTAGGCCCTCTGAAGTATTTCCAGAAGCCCTTTGATTCACTGACAGAGATGAAGAAGCACAGATATTAAATCCAATTGCTGCAAGGTTGGCCTTTGCACATCTGCTATTGAGGTGAAATTGTAGTCAAGGTCCATTTCATCTAGCATCCCATTTTCAGTTCTTTGTCTGAACAGCCAGCTAGCTGTGGTCTCCAGGCTCCAGCCAATTTTCCCCAAGGGCTTTCTTGTCTTACTGTCTTTGAACAAGTATTAGAGACCTGAACATTGACTTCTTGTTTGCTATCCCCTCATTGAGTCTCAATATCCAGCAAGCCACACATCCCTTCTGTCCCCTACAATAATATGCAGGAAGTTAACTATATTTAGTTTAATCACAGGAAGAGAAAGTAATAGAGGGGAAGGCCAGAAGCCTCCCCGACCCTTTTTATAACCTTTGGGCCACTTGTGTCACCTTTAGAAGATACTTCAGCCCCCAAATGGTTCTCCTAGTGGTTGCCTCTGGAGAGGGTCCTTGGTGAAGGTGTTAGTTTTCCTCCCATTTTCTGGGTTTTAAAACAAACAAACAAACAAGCAAGTAAAACAAACAAACAAACAAAAAAAAAAAAACACTTGCCATGCCTGCCATGGTGTTTTCCTAGCTATAAATGCCTCATCCATCTCCTTCTCAGCAGGGCAAAGCGGGGAAGCAAAGGGGTGAGAGAAAAAAGTCGTCTGAACCAGCTGTGTGATGGGAAAGATGCTTTTTTCAGCAACTCAACCCCGTTCTCTGCTCTTAAGGTCTCTTTTTAATTTTTAGTAATTAATAATTTTTAATAATTAATTTTAACAATTTAATTTTTAAAAATTACTCTGTTAGGCAGTATAGATTTGGAATCTTCAAAACTCTCTAATTCTGGTGCTATATTGTCTACTCTGGGTAAACATTCAGTTTTCTAGTGCTGGGTATAAATATCCATACCCAAATTATGAATGGTAATTCCTATGATGCAGTTTATGGTCCAGGCAGTAACCCAGATATGGAGGTGCCAGGATTGGCTAAAGTGTCTGACTTTAAGTTTTAAGTCTACAACCTTGTCGACTTGAACTGCATCCTTCTTTGATCCCTTTGTGGTGTCTTGATTTCTAGTTCTGCTCACTTTAAACTGAGGAAATGCCTCATGAACTCCCAACTCAGGGGATTGTCTACTCTAGGCAAGGCTGTTTTACAGTCTAAACTCTAGTTTCTAGAGTGTCATTCCGCCACTATTGCAGTCTTTTCTCTGTCTTAAACTGGATAATTGCTCAAAGAATAAACTAATTTATGAATCACACAGCTCTCTCCTTTTGCTTTTCTACATTGGAGTTAGGCTGTACTTATGTGTCCATGTGAATTTGTGCTACAGGGGTTCACCACTCTGTTACTACTATGAACAGTTAGTAGCAATAACTTATCTGTGTTGCGTTTGAGGGACAGTAGAAAGGAAATGGTTAATCTGCTACTTGCAAAAGCCAGGGTGAAACATTTAGCCAAGAAGGAATCTGAATCAGTTTCACTGCCACCCATTAGTCTGCTCTGTGTTCTCACTGTGTACTTTTCAAGAAAACAGCCGAGAGGTGTTCTATTTTACATCCAACATTGTACTATCACCAAAAATTTAACCTCTCCTTCATTTGTATTTTTTGGCTGCCAAGTGCATGCTCCAGTCTTCATGCCTCATGATTACCACTGAATCTAGTCCTTTTGTTGCTTAATCCCAGCTGGTGAATATCAAAGAAGTTCCCAAGCAAGCTAGTAACTTAAACTTTTTTGTTTAAGTATAAATATTGCCATAATTAAAAAGCTGACTTCAAGGCACATAATGAGGCAAAACAATAAACACAATGAAAATATCAGAGATCTGTTTAGAAGTGTTTTATTAGTTTTTAATGAATTATTATTGCTATTATTAATTTTATTTACATCCCAACCATAATTTCCCCTCCCTCCTCTTCTTCCACCAACCCCTATACCCCCATCTGTCTGCCTCCCTCTCTCATTCCCCATCTTGATCCACTCCTTTGTTTCTATTCAGAAAAGGGCAGGCCTCCCATGGATGTCAAGCTGCAATGAGAATAGGCACCTTCTTGCCTATTAAGGCTAGACTAGGCAACCTGGTAGGAGGAAAGGGTGAGGAAAGGGTCCCAGAAGCAGGCCACAGAATCAGAGACTGCCTCTGCTCCCACTGTGAGGAGGCCCACAAGATGATCAAGCTATACAACTGTCACATATATGCATAGGGCCTAGGTTAGTCTCATGTAGGCTTCCTGGTTGTTGTGTCAGTCTCTGTGAAACTTTATGAACACAGGTTAGTTGATTCTGAGGATTTTCTTGTTGTATCCTTGAACCCTCTGGCTCCTCCTCCTTTTCTTAGAATTCCCCCAAGCTCTGCCTAATGTTTGTCTGTGGGCCTTTGCTCCTGTTTTCTTCAGTTGCTGGGTGAAGCCTCACTGATGACAACTGGACTAGGCAACAGTCTATGAGCATAGCAGGCATAAAAGAATATCAGTAAGCATCATTACATTGACTTTTTTTTCCAGTGGTGTTTGGTTTTATCCTTCTTAGGTCTCTGGATTGTCCATCTCTGAATCCTGGTGCTCTAGGCAATGTCAGAGGTTAGCTCCCTTTGGTGACATGGGTCTCAGGCTAGACCAGTCATTGTTTGACTTCTCCCAGAATTTCTGCAGTTGCTTTGCCCCAGGACTTCTTGTAGGCAGGACAAATTGTAGGTTGAAGGTTGTAAGGCTAGGTTAATATCCATTTCCCTTCACTGAAAATCTTGCCTGATTACAGGAGATTGCCAGATTAGATTACATATCTTCTACTGCTAGGATTCTTAGTTAGGGTCATCTTTGTAGATTCCTGAGAGTTTAAATTGCACTAGGTTTTTACCTTGTGCCCCAAATGCCCTCCTTTTCCAGTCCTCTCTTCTGGTACCGTTCTCCATCACTCCTGTATTCAGGCCACTCAAGAAATCTCTCCTATTTCTCCTTCCAAGGGAGAGCCAAGCATCTGCCCCTTGAGCCCTTTTGGAATGTTTTGATTCCTTGCTATTTTGCAAGATGGACACATGGGCATTTCAATGCTTCACTGCTGGAAAGCACTATCACTTTTCTCCAAAATAGTTTAAAAGGTATTCTTAAAATTACCTGAAGTCATTGGGTGAGACGGCCCGCATTTTATCTCACATATTAAAGCAGTGCACTAAAACTCTCATAAACCAAAGTAAGCTGTGTTTAATTTCTATCATATATTTACCTATGTGTACAATTTCTATTGCATTCATGCTCTGAATATTAGCTCATTAAAATAACTTTTTAATTAATTACTGTGTAACACTGCTTTAACTCATTTCTGTCTACAAAAATCTAAAGTAATATTCAATTTGACAAATAAATACAATTAGCTTACCATTGTTCTAAAATACATAATTCTGTTATGGTTACCCATAAAGAATCATAAACATTTCAGATATTTCATTAAAGCATTTTTCCTTTAATGCCAGTTTTGAGAGTTGAAAAAAATAAAAAATAAAAAGTGAGATAAGAACAGTTATTGGTATGCCAAATGGATATTGCTTTAAAATTACACTTTTTCATTTCTCATCAGATGTTCATAAGGGAGAATGCTCATTTGCATATGAAAACTAAATAAAATGTTGTGTGATTGCTTATTTTAGATTTTTTTATAAGTCAATTAAGAAGAATTTACTTTTGTTTTGGTTTTATTTGCTCAGTTCCTCAGTAGGCCAAAGAGTCTCAGAGGCAGGCTAGTAAATTTAGAATTTTGTTTAGAAGTTTAAGTCTAAATATTTCAAAGATTAAATAGCTGTCTTGAGGACAGCATCTTGAGTCAGAGTCGATGTCTAGAATCTGCTGGTACTGGTCAAGCTTTCTTCCCATATGCAAGAAAATGCTAAGTTGCTTGTCCAGTCTGCCTTTTAAATCCCAGAGGTTGCTCCAGCTGCAGTGTACATCTTAGCTCTACTGGCAATGTCTTCCAATTTTAAATTGCAGAATAATAATTCTTCATTTTGGGTCAACTTCTTCATGATTTCTTATCCATTTTATGTACATAAAATATACTTTGATCTTTACTAAACTATTGTAAATATTCTTTGGATCAATCAGTTTAAGTATCAGTGACTAACTAAAAGGTAAGAATGGTTGTGTGCTCATTCAGAGTTCATGATTGCTATTGTGTCCATGCTGATTTGTGTTTTCTCATTTTATATTAATCAGAGTTCATTTTCTCTGTTTTGCAAAATTGAAGAGTTATGCATGTGAGATCTATGTGGTACCCGATTCTTACAAAGGGAATAGTATAGATCAGATGACAAGATGGCTCTCAAAGGAGAAGAGTGATTACATAGTTGTTGGGCAAGCTAAGAATACATTTAGAAAGAAAAGTTTTTAAAAACCACCACTTTTCTTGTCCTACCTGACCTAAAGCCATAATGAATGTGTACTATGGTTGTCTTGTTTAGTTCCCACCACTTTTGTAATAACCATTGCTTCTTTTATATCTAAGATTGCCATTCCTTCAGTAACAGAGAACACAGCAATATATCCT